CATCACGTGACCTCAGAATAAAAGATTCAATAAATAGAGTTCTAATAAAGATAGAACGTAGAAACATTTTATTCCAAAGTTAAAAGACTTCTCTAAGTAATATATAAATATGTATTCGATAATTTTTACTTTTCCGGCTGTTATATATAACAGAGGGAAAGTGTAGCGCTCGGTCAAAAAATGACGCTTTCCAAATTTTTACATTTTTGGACTCAGGACCCCTTGAAATTTCGAGATATGCAAAAGATTTGAGGTTTTTTTCTATATGTGTGGATGTTAGACTGTGCGTGGGGGGCATGATTTCGTTCACTTTATTTGAAGCCTAATAATTTTTGTGGTCAGAATGGTTGGAATCGGAGTCAGATGGTTTAACACATTACATTACATTAAAAGAGTAGAGAGGTTGTCTGTATATGCACAGACTTTACCTCTAAGAAATTAGAAGTGTTGAAATTGAAATTAGAAAAGGAAGTGATAGTAAGTAGGGAGGGAAAGAAAATAGGGAAAGATTGAAGGACAGGAGTTAGCGTCAAAGTGGTTGAATTAAATCATGTCTCCATATACGAGTACATTCTAACATCTTAGGCGAGAACATCTTAACGGGTTTTACTGTACTATTATAAAATGACAAAAAAGCTTACTTTGAGGGTAGAGACGAATTTTATTTTTATTTTAAATTTTGAACGCTAATAACGAGTAAAATATTTATTAAGAGATATGACACATGATCACTTTTATGTCTTTACCCTGTCGACCTTTAATTAAGAACCAAAATTTACCAGTATTAATGCCCCTTTATACGCAAGCAACAATGCCACATTTCGTTTCTTAAACTTTACCCATTCTCAGATATTGTTTAATATCTCAGAACAGAAAATAAAGAAGTTAAACAAACTAGATGCCAACATACATACACACGCACGCGAATTTTTCCCCTGAATTCTTATTGACTTTTTTTAGGGGTTCGAGAGGTCTCCAAACGTGTAGATTTGCAAGAAAAAAACGTGGAGGGTCAAATTTGATATAATTCCAATACTTTTCCGTTTTATATACATAACAAGTTGGGAAGTAAAAAGGAGTCGGAGTCGGCGGATTTTTTGACGACTCCGACTCCGGCTAAAATACCAAAACACGACTCCGACTCCGACTCCACAGCCCTAGTTAACACAGAAAAATCTTTTTAGATAACGAAATTAAAGTTAAAATAAAATTATTGTAATTAATCGAAACTCTGTTCTAGCAGGCCACGTTATTCGGTTGAGTGCCGAGCAATTTTTTCATGAACATTTGTTCGAAAACCGAATTGTTCAAGTTAATAGTTCGAGTACCGAGGTACTGTAAGACTCAGGGGCGTGCCGTGACATTTGATGATAGGGACGCTGTGTTTCTGTAAGAAGCCGACATCCAGGAGCAATCAGTCAATTGCGGGTCAGTAATGGTCTAGAGTCCATTCGTATCGTTTATTCGATAAGCCAGTAAAAACCGTAGACTTTTCTAAATACATTTTTAATATCACAATTACATTTCGAATCGCTAGCCACGATATAAGGGCTACAATTAAAAATAAAATAATAAAAACTTACTTGGTGAAATAAAATATGTGGTGGATGTACTGGTACATACAAAATATTCTTCAATTATATGAATATACTTTTAAAGAAAATTATAATTAAATATAGCTTTGCAAAGAAACGTACATAAAAATATAAAATATTCTTTACTTTTTAAATCTTAAAACAATGCACTTAGTCAAATAGCTCCCTACGAGCTAATGGATGGAATCGAAGACGATTGTAGAGCGTGAGCGGGTTGTCAAATCCCGAGGATGCCGATACTGGTCAATGTCAAATACCTCTTTTGTCGCATCATTAGTATATCTCAAAGGATGCGACAGGGCTGTTGTAGATTTTAAACGTTTCTCACTATAGCTGTAAAAATCTAAATATGTTAAACTTAATAGATTTTCCGTCGTTTGTTTTTTAACTAATTCGTTTTAGGACCAGGTGTTGTCCACGGAAATTTCCAAAATTTACAACTTTTCGATCACTCTCGTTGAACTGGAAAAATTTCTATCTTTATTACATCTAATATTTCGAAGAAATCAGTCACACTGTACTCGGCTATAGATTAATTCGGTTAAGCTTTTGTTTAAGTAATATTCCGGCTCTTTCGTCAGGGTTTTGTTTACGTCCCCAATTCCCTAATCGCTTAATTATTTAACTACTTAAGTAGAAATAAGTCGAAACCAGTTACTTTGTACTTGAATATTTGTAGTCTCGGGAAAAAAGTGGAAAAACAAATTTTTATGACAAACGGATACATAAATCGTAAATTTAAGGAAAATAAATTCTAGAGCTTTTTCTGTACCTGGTGCATCTCTCTCATTCATTAAGTTTAGTTGCAAATGACGCTGTCAAAGTAACGGTTAATTTTTTAACATTATACAAGAATTGTACACATTTTTTTTCTATATCCCCTTAGAGATGGGATACACGAAATCGTAATATCACTGGTTTAACATCGAAATCCGTGAGTAATATAAAATCGGAGAGCGGAATAAAAATATCAAGTATTTTAATGGATTTTTTAAACTCCTGTCAACTATACAGAACTATCGTAAAAACATACCAGTAAATTCTTATCGGTTGGGTTAAGTTATAAATCTACTCGTTATTCACGTAATCGGCCAAATATCTAACAGCCCGGAACCGGTCCCGGATAGAATTGGAAGCGTTGTATGTGTAGCATCAACTCAAGGTCCTAGGCTTCCTCCGGCTAAACCGGGTGAGGTTGGTGCTCTGTAAAGCGCATCCGCAAATCTGGCTTTTTTGGATGCTGAAAATACAGCGCTTCCACTCCGCCACTAATATTCGAATACAGTAATACCTCGACCTACGCGATTTTCAAATCTCGTCGATTCGTCTTTTGTTTGAGCGCCACGCAACTCTTGATCACTCACTCCTTCCACACTATTGTTCAGCTTACATGTTCGGATATGTCGCGCGGAATCGACGCATAGCTATAATTTATTTTGTGTTATTTATTTCTGTGTTTGTTATATCTACGGAGACTTGAGAGACTCTACTATGTCATCCAAACGAAGTAGAACTGATTTTTCTGCATCAAAGTAGAAAAGAAAAACTTTATCTTTGGAATGTAAAGTTTAGTATTATTAAAGATTTCGATACAAAAATGAAAATTTGTGAATTGGCAAAGAGTTTGATCTATCGGAATCGACGGTCAGAACAATTATAAAAGGTAAAGAAAAAATTCTCGAAGCTGTAAAAAATGCTCAATCTTTAAATTCAAGCATCACTCGTAAACGTCACGGTATTATCCCTGAGATGGAATCAATGTTAAAATTATGTTCTGATAATCGAATAAATGTGAAAAATTGTATAATAATATAATTCGTTATACATATGTATTATATAAGATTTTATTAAACACTTTTTTCTAAATTATTGTTTTCTTTAGTCTCTGGCCCCAATTAAAAATTATTTGTATGTATTTATATGCGAAATTATACCACGACTTACGCGAATTCGACTTACGCCGTTATTGCTCGGTCCCACCTATCGCGTAAGTTCGGGGTATTGCTGTATACCAGTGTTTTTCAACCGGGGTGCCGCTGCACCTTAGGGTGCCACGGCGCCACGATTGGGGTGTCGCAAAGTTTAGGGCCTTTAGGCGTTTTCTTGGAAATTTACTTAAGTGTAGTTCAAGATAACTCATTATCAGTTCTATTTTGATACGAGATATCTAGTAAGCAAAGAAACTATGACTAATCGCGTGTTAATGTAATTTTCTACGCTACGTGTACGCACGACTTGTCACGAGTTCGCCCAAACCACATTGCTTGGCCTTCACGTTCCCAGTCCCAGTACCAGGCCAACCACCAGAGAAGAACGACGTGGACACTTGTGTCTTATATATGCTTTAAAAAGTGCTGCATTGTACTTTGAAAAGCGTGTGCGTTCAATCACAAAGTAGGTGCATATTACAGTATTTTCATAGTATTCAAAAGCAATGATGACAAATAAACAATTTTTTTTATCATTTTTTTAATTTAAATTTTTTAAATTGATATGAAAAAGATAAGAAAAAATAATGAAATATTTATTTTATATATGCATCAGAATAGTATAAAAAAACGTGACAAAAATTTTTTATCAATAAAATGATAATATAAAATGATGATATATNCCTTGCCAATAACGACTGAATAGGAGGCCAGTTCCCCATTAAAGTCCTCCTGGAAGGCATTATTTCCCTCGCGCGCATATAGGCCGTTCTGATACGGCTGGCTCATCGGTCGCATAGCGATCATAAACACATGTCCAGTCGGAGAAAGAGCCTATAGAGCTAAAATCTCCATATAAACAACACCTGAGAAAAAAGGAAAGGCTTTTTGGATGCTGACAATACGGCGCTTCCACTCTGCCACTAGTATTCGAATATACAATAGCGATCTTATCTTTTTTTTTCGCGTGTAGTATAGAAATTTGTAATAAGATACATAATGCGGTTATAATAAAATATTACGCGATTATTTTCGTATAATTAAAATTAATATGTATTTATTTCTTATAAAATACAAAGGAAGCGGCGCTTCCACCGCTTCTAATTACGGCACGCTACTGGTAAGACTATTTCATTGGCTCGCTTAATCATGATGATTAAAGCCGCTTTACCAGCATCGTATCCATTGTCTACCATTAAATGATTTTATTTTGTTTCTAAGAATCTAAAATTTACGTGGAAAATTTTAAAATATTTTATAGTTATTTATTAAAAACTATTATATATATTTTTTAACCCATAAAAACAATAATAATTTTTAAAAACGACAACCGAATTTTATTATTTTATTAAAAACTGTGTAAATATTAATTTTTTAATATAAATGTTTAAATTTTAGATAATAATTTATATAGTGTTTATATCAAAAATGAATTTTTTGGTTTTAGTCGATTTTTTTCAAATAAATTTAGAGTGGCGTTTTGTTTTCATGCTGTCATCATGGCGGACAAGGAGACGCAGGATCACGACGAAGCTGTAGAAGAGTTTTGTAAAATTACGGGAGTCGATAGAGACAGAGGAAGGCTTTACTTAGAATCTTCTGGATGGGAATTAAATGTAATATTTTATTTATAAAAATCTTACTTATAATTAATAATAATTAGTAAATATTATAAACTAAGTTTCACACTACTTAATCAACTTGATTGAATGAAAGATGGACTTTTACCAACCATGCAATTTGATATCATTTCAATATTGTACTGACTTATCTAGCTGTGGCTTTTGACAAGAACAACAAAACAATGGACAATTGCTTACTCAAAGGCAAGGATTAGGAAACAGAGAGTGCAGATTAAACCTGTTTCTGTAATTGGTCAGATAAGTTTAGTGTGGAACTATTTATATCATATAAAACAAACTGAAACAAAATATCAAGACTATAAGGTGCATACCACTTTTTAAACACTCACTACATTATATCTCTTGTGCTCTTGAAGATCTTTAAGGCAATGAGGGGAGGAGAGTATGTCAATTACAAAGATACAGGTCCTTATTGTTTGCCTGGAGGTTTTTATACTATACCCTGGAGTGGAAAGCTTTTAACCCTTCTGAGAAGGGTATCTCTTTTGTTCTTATTTCTTGATATATGATATAGAAATTTTATTTGTTTTTCTTATATTCTGCATTATTATTATTATTATTGATTTTTTTAATTCTGTTTGTATTTTTGTTATATTTATGAGGGTTACGAGGGCGGTTCTTTTTCAACCTCTGATGATCCATAAAACAAAGACAAGTGTAAATAACAAAATGAATTTATTACCAAAAGTTAGGTACAAACATGGTTAATTTTTGACATAATTGCCATGAAGATTGAGGCATTTGACATATCTGTGGATGAGCTTTGAAATCTCCTCTTTGTAGAATGTTGCCGCCAATGACTCGAGACAGGCCCTAACATTGTTTTGAAGATTGTCATTAGTCTCAAACCTCTGCTGAACTGAAAATGTGACTAGAACGGCAAAGGTTCGAGACTAATGACGATCTTCAAAACAATGTTAGGATCCATCTTGAGTCATTGGCGGCAACATTCTACAAAGAGGGGATTTCAAATCTCGTCCACAGATATGTCAAATGCCTCAATCTTTACAGTGATTACATCAAAAAGTAACCGTGTTTGTACCTAACTTTTGGTAATAAATTCATTTTATTATTTACACTTGCCATTGTTTCATGGACCATCGGAGGTTGAAAAAAACCACCTACATATTTTATGCATTTTATTTGATGGAACACCTGTTTAAATGTGTTTCAGATTTTAAAATTGTTAATTCATTTGGAATATTCTTGCATTTGAATGTTCATTATGGAGAAAGTTCTATTTTGTCATTTTCAACCTTACAAAGGCTTATGAATGAGGCTGAAAATGTTAGTTGAGTAAAGAATTGTTGGAAGGATAAGGTGTTTGTGAGTTTGCTATTTGTATCTGTTTTAATTTGCTTTTATGAAACAAACTAAACAGAACCTTTTAATTTTACTTGAGAAAGTGTGGGCTTTTAGAAAAAAATATCAATATTTGTGCTCATGAAATATTAAGTCCTCACCCCTTCGGTGATTGGGCTATATATAATAATGATAAAATTGAAATTGAAACATTATATAGTGAAGCTAGTTTTCAAAACTAAATGAATTATGAGAATTATTGTAAATATTGTCAACATTATTTAAGGAGATAATAGGCCAATTACAGAAACAGTCCAGACTAGTGCTATGCTAATAACTGATAAAATCAATGCATGTCTACAATATTGATATTCTAAAATCTATAATATTGAATTCAATATTTGATATTTTGGTACTTAACACGTTCACAGCGTTACGAGACACATGCGACTTGTATGGACATGTCTAGTTAGGGCTACAGACATAATTGCTTGTTTTTCCGTGGGGCAGCGCATATGTTTTGATAACATAATTCTACAAACATCATACTTGATATATCGATATTATTTTATTAACTGCAATAAAATATATTAATTTAATATATGAGGCACAGGTGACTCGTGCTTCCCTGTATTAAAATAGACTATGAGTCACCCGTGACTCGTAATGCCCAGCAGCTGCCTAAATGTTTATCGACTGATGCAATAGATGGTCTAAACCAATATTAATTCACACACCATTTTCATAGAAAAGTTCTACTTTATGGTGTGAAAGTTTATAATGTGCTGAAGTGTCATGCACATAGGATTGCCAAATTTCTATTACTGGATTAAAGGATACTTAAAAATTATTTATGATATCACTTTCCATCTTTCCCTCCATTCATCCCTTCTCAAAAAGTAAAACTGAATGATTTTTTAATTAATAACTAAACATTGTTTGATTTTTAGATTTTGATTTAAAAAATTATAGTTATTATAGTTATTCATGTTGACTATAAATATTTGCAAATTTTTAGTTTAATTTACAATTTAAAATACTTAATGGTAAATCATAGTTTTCTATGGGGAAGATAAGGATTGATATTCAATAGTTCTCAACATATGAGGAGTTGTCCCACATGAGTTATCCCACATGGGCTCAGGTTTATGCTACTAGCCAGGAAAAAAAATGGAAAGTACATTAAATAAAAATTCTTAATTGTGTACCTTTTTCAGGATGCAGGAAATCTTGCAGAATCTCACTCAATCATACATTCTTATTCTGGAAAAGTGTTTACTGGCACTCATTTCTTTGTTTTGCAATAAACACTAGAATCTGCATCAGTCTTTGTCTGATATGCTATCATATGGAGGGAAATTTTTCCAATTGCAGATAATTTAATTGCTGTGAGGAAAAATGTAAATATATTATAAAATAAAGGGGAAAATTGAAACTTTTAGGGTTTGTACTACAAATATATACTATACAGGTATATTCATTACTCTTGAATTCTCCAATTCATTACCGTGTATAGTGGAGAAAGATTACTGGTGTCACTGTTATTCAAAGTTCTTTCTTGTAACATTACATCCACATGATCTCAGTGCTTCTCTGTGTTTCATTAATGCAAATTACTCTGCAAACACAAGAGAAAGAAAATACTCAAATTTTTTGTTATTTTTATGATTTACAGTATCATGCTATTTATTGTTAATATTAGTGTTTGTCTTATTTATAGTTACGTTTGTTTAGGTAATACTCAATTAATGGGTTCTCTATTTCATGCAAATTTTCATTTAGGTGATATTAAATTGGTGTGAAATGTTTTAATAATAATAATAATAATTAAAATAAAAATCTTTTAAGATCCAGCAAAAAAATGTTTAATTAACATTTTTAGCAAATAATTCTTTCCAAATATTGAGGTACAGTAATACCCGAACTTACGCGATAGGTGGGACCGAGCGATAACTGCGTAAGTTGAATTCGCAGAAGTCAGGATGTAATTTCGCATATAAATACATACAAATAATTTTTAATTTGGGCCGGAGACTAAAGAAAACAATAATTTAGAAAAAAATGTTTAATAAAATCTTATATAATACAGTACATATGTATAACAAATTATATTTTTATACAATTTTTCACATTTACTTGATTACCACACCATAATTTTAACATTGTTTCCATCTCAGCAATAATACCGTGACATTTATGAATGATGTTTGAATTTAAAGATTGAACATTTTTCACAGCTTCAAGAATTTTTTCTTTACCTTTTATAACTGTTCTGACTGTCGAATCCGGTAGATCAAACTTCTTTGCCAATTCACAAATTTTCATTTATGTATCAAATCTTTAATCAGTCTTTAATTAATAATGTTAACTTTACACTCCAAAGATAAAGTTTTTTTTTCTTGTTTGATGCAAAAGAATCAGTTCTACTTCATTTGGATGACATAGTAGAGTTTCTCAAGTCTCCGTGGATATAACAAACACAGAAATAAATAACGCAAAATAAATTGTACCTATATGTCGATTCCGCACGACACATCCGAACATGTAAGCTGAACAATAGTGTGGGGGGAGTTAGTAATCAAGATTTGCATTGCGCTCAAACAAAAGATGAATCGATGGATTTGAAAATCGCGTAACTCCGGGTTCGCATAAGTCGAGGTATTACTGTATTTAACTTGCTTTCTAAATGAACAAAGTGTTAACTATCTGGGGGGAAAAAAAGTTTTGTACGGCAATTGACAAAAATCCATACTAATTACATAATAAAATCAATTGAACAAATTATTTAAAGGCCTAGAAGCACACTTCTTAGACATATTGAGAATATTAAGTCAAACATAAATTAAAATAAAACTGTATAGAGGGCCACATTAATGGAAAAATATGTTTGAAAAGTTCTACTTCCTATGCAATAATTTCAATAATATGCAAATGGAAAAATAATGACATTATTTTTTCATATTTTGCACATTATTGAAATTATTGCATAGGAGGTAGAATGTTTCAAAATGGCCTCATACTTCCAGAACCTCAAAACAATGCATTAAATGTCTTAAATGTTTGTTAATGTTTCCAGTCACATTGTACATTTGATTTATATTTGCAAAATTCTGAAGCAAGAAACAGCTAAAATATTCAGAGAAACAAGCTGCTGGATAGAGCTCAATATAATCCAGCAGATCGATTGTCCTTAATTAAAAATCAGGTTAAAGGATGTTTATATTTGTAAATATTCAAAGCTGTTAAAAATCCAGATCAAGCAAAATATGCTGAATGTTATGAAATTTAAAAGTAAAAAATTAATATAGCAATATAAGGACAGTGAATTACTATTGATAGTGGCTTGGAAATAAGTATTAAGATACAGAAAGTTTTACATTGGAGGAAAAAATCCCATATGAGCATGGGTTTTATGTTGAACTGAACACAATAGTACAGTGGAACCTCGGTATACGTCTGCTTTAGAATACGTCCTGTTTGGATGAAACAAATTTTGTTCGGTATACGACTTAATTCAATTATATGCGCCATCTATGAACAAGTACTGTAGCACTATCGGTGTACTACACCAGACTAGACGTTCGCGGTTCTACGGTTTATAACTTTGTTAAATTTCTTCAGATTTTAATTTGTAAGTAACATTTTATTATTTTTATTAATCATGAATTGCA